GGCTCAACTCTTGGACGGAGTAAAGAATCTCAGAACTCTCTTGGGAACTCCTCGGAAAGGAAGGAGGGTTCATGAGTCTTGTTCAAATTCTTATATGGTCATAAGATGAAAAGATTATTTATGATATTAGAGTAAGTGAAATTTGACAACATGACTGTATATTCCGTCGTTTGATATAAACATATGTTATATGCGTTGATCATACACTACAATGTAGAGTTGCCACCATTTTGGTAGATTTTAAAATAAAATGAAACATGAATGTTGTTGTAATTGAGTTTATTCATTATGATGCTTATTTTTGACAGACTACTCAACCAAATTGGTTGTGTAGATATACTTTAAATCATCATATTGAATATACGTGATATTGATTCTCATCGTATAAAATAGCTTACTGATACCTTTATAAAGTTGAACACATGTAATAATGTTCTGATGTTATAGTAATTGTAAACTGTAAAGCTCATATTTATATAGTATAAATTAATTTTTGTATAAACATTTGAAAATATTTGAGTAAATCCTGTTTTCATCATATCCATTAGAAATGAGTGTGTTCTGTTACTGTTGTACTTTTTTGACAAAATTTTCACGATAATTGCAAGTACGTGCAATCCTTAAGTTCCTGCGTATATAACAGCGTTTTTAATGTGAGTGGTTACACCTGAAATAATGTGTATAAATCTTTTCACTTGAAAATAGAAACTATCAATTTTGTTATACGTTTTAGTTATGAATCTTGTTGTTAACTATTCGATTACCGTCTGGAGCACAGTGAGCAGAGTGGTTTTCTTGATATTAGGCCTTGGAATCATCCGAATCCTCTTTGTCAGAAATCCATATAAGAAGCGACCCGCTCCTCTTGCGATCAGGATTTCCAACCAACCTATTTTTTCAGCTTCCGTTAAATATTCTCCACCCCCGATGCCTCACGATACGGCAGTGCCATCCGAAGCATCGCCCGTAAAGGTTACAACAGTGCCATCTGAAGTATCGAGTGAGTGATTTATATTGGCATGTTTTGTAACTAATAGTAAATTTTTCTCAGAAAAAGCTGTGAAAAAGGGAGGCTCTACTTCAGCTATTCATATAGCCGTTCTTGTCACAGTTGCGGTCGTAAGCACTCACAAATTCAGAGTGCTTAATGAATTCTGCAAAACTCAGTTTCCAGGCATGTGCAGTAGAGTTGCTACAGTACGGAATGTCCATTGACGAACAAGAAAAGGTGCAAAAATTAGAAGTCAAGGTGTGTCGAACCTACCGTTTCAAAAGTTTTTGCAGTGAAATGTTCGATGCTTGTTGGAACGTCTATCTCAAGCCAATGTACCGCACGATTGGCACAAAAATCTGCGAAGCGGACTCAACTTCTCTGGTTTATCCGGTGAACGCGCGCTCCCGGCTAGGGTAGAGGAATGCACTCTGCCATTAGGCCCGTCTGCGCTGTCCTCAAACATTATGTC